GAGAGAGAAAGAGAGAGAGCGAGAGCACAAAGGAGAGCGACAGCGCGTGATGGATCGATAGACAGTGTATGATAGCGCTGCCTGAAAGAATTCGTGCAACGAGATGGTGCAGCTGACCTTCAAGCTTCGCAACAGCCCCAACCTTTCTGGAGCCGTCGGACCTTCCTCTACGATGAACCCTTCGAACGTGGCCGGTGCATGGCTGATCCCTCAACATCCCAAGCCCTAACGAAACAAACCGCCCAGGCAAATCCCAGTGGTAGCAAATCTTTCGATTCTCATCGCCATCGCTACTGTGAACATTCGAATGCTTACCGTTGCCCCATCTCTCTAGCCATGCAATGCTAACCCAACACTCTAAAACCCAAAACTCTGAAGCAGCAAACTCTAAGACCCTAAACGCCTTCACTCTCTGCAGCCCAAGCGGCGCAGTGCCCAGGCCGCACCTCTTAAGCCAACGCTGCTCCGGCGGTGCCCGGCTCCTGATCCCAGCTCAGCTTCCTGACAAGAGGGCTCGCTGCGGGCTTGCAAGCCTATGGAGGCCAGCGGCCAGCGATGGGGACTCAAGCTGCAGCCGTTGTGAATGGGCTCGCGGGCTCCCGGTGCTTTTGCATGGATTTGGTCTCGACAGTTTGCAACTGAAGCCTCTTGTACCTGGGCTTCTCAAGCAGAGGACCAGTGTTGGAACTTTCAGCCTCTGGATGTTTAGGACCAACGCGCACCTGAAGGACGTCTGTTCCAGATTCAACGCTGTCTCGCTGTGCTGCTTGCACCAGAAATCTGTGTTCTACTGACTTGAATGGCAATGTCAATAAAGTCTTGCACTATGCAGAGAGGACTGATACACATCCGATCAACCGCGGAGCAAAATGCAAAGCAGATGCCCCCAGAAGCTTCAAGATCCTGGAACCACATACCATCATACTTGGGAGTTTCTGAAAATTCGGTTACCTTATTTTGGGTCCTTATAANNATCCTACTATTTAAAGTACTATATTAGGGTCCCCTATTTTCGGAAACCCTCACTTGACTGTCGGCATCTCCAGCTGCTAAACTCGCAACTGAAGTGCTTTGATGTTGCTTTGCCGGTTCCGGCCTCTTCTTGGCTTCGGACCTCAGATGTAGAGACATGTCTTGCATGCTCCGTCAGGATGCTCTGTTGTGAAAGCTTTGCTGCCCTGCGTGGTGATGACGATAAAGGTGATGATGAACATGCCCGACCAGGACAATCTCTTAACCGCATTTCGTTGACTTGGGGCCGCGGTGTTGGGATTAATCTTCATCAAAACCAGCAAACCCTCGAACTGATTGATGTGGTTGATTCCGGAAAGGGGCCTTCCGAGAGAAAGATGCTGCAGGGTTGCGAGTCTGCACGCCATGCGACTTGTAGATTCTACGCGAGCTTCACGGGCCCCTGCTGCGCCGCCGTTCGAACCGATCGCTGCCGAGACGCGGGTATTTCAAGTCCCAAGCCAAGCCGAAGAACTCCAGCGTCTTGACGGTGTACCAAGTCATATCCTTGGTGCAAGCAGCTCCCACATGCTACTGGGGAGCAATCGAGGGCCCCTTTCAATGACAGGCAAGCGCATCGACTCACTGCAGTTGCTGACGACTGATAGCTCTACCCTTCCAATTCAGGCGTTTAGGAGTATGGAGCATGGGCTTGCGCTTGAATTCAGAGAGGGGAGGGCACTGGAGGGCCTCAACCAGAGAGGTGGTACCATCTTTCCGACCTGGAAGCCTCTGTACGTGCACTGAGTCCACGGCGATTTGCCACCACTTCCTCGGTGTTGGGAGGCTGCCCCAAAGCTCGGCTCGGCAGCTTCAACTCATTGCGTGGGTTCCCTCTCAGTTTAACGGTCTTGCATGGCCGACGGCTGCCAAGCAGCAGCCCATGCCTGCACGAAGTCTCGAAGGCATGGTGGTTGTTGTGCCATCCTTCACCTGCGCAGGTTTGAGCTTGAGGACTTCCTGGCAGGCTCCGAGTGGGATCATCGAGGGCAGGAAGTGTCGGTTTGTTTCTCGAGGGTCGCTTCAACATGTTTCTGAACAATACAGCAGCTGCTTTATCCACGGACACGAGCTGGCTACTGACCTATCAAACTGCTGCATCTAATGGTGGCAGTTCCAGCGACCCTGCTGGAGAACCCCGCCCATGTAGTGTAACGGCACAGCCGACGCGGAAAGTTTCTCACGCACGGACCATTCGGAACAGAGTCTTCGCCATGATACTTGCCACCACTATACGCACTATACTCGGCCAAGGCACCGAATGCCAGGATACCAACCAGCCAATTGTTCATCGAAATGTCGCCGGTGTTCCAGTCCTGGAATCCTTGGCGAGACCGGGCTTCTAGCAGCGGTGACAGCTCGAAGCCCTGAAACAAGGAACTGCATCGCCCGCCTTATGTGGCTGTAAAGCTGGCTAGTTGAAGGTCGAGCACACAGACTCCTGGTGGTGACTCGGGAAAGAGCGATGCCTTAACATCCTCAGGGCCTCAGGGTCTCAAGCCACACGTGCAACTGTTGTAGTTCAATTTCACTTGAGCACCTGCTCTGCAACCCACTCCGGACAGCCTAGTCAGTCGATAGCCCTAGGCCGACCATGCAGCCGAGGAACCCCAAACATGGCTGACGGAATTCACCGCCCAGGTCACATGCCACGTCCACACGGTGCGGGCGAAGAAGCCCCAAAAAACCTTGCCGAGTGGGAGTGAGGGGGAACGAGGTGCTTTGAGCGCCCTCTGCCCCCCCCGTCTGCAGAACCTCCCCCGCTCGCCTGACCCAGCGCTGAACCCTAAATCCTGCATCCAAGCAGACCCGAATGGAGATTGTTCCTTCTCCTCGAGTGTCCTCCAAAACTAGTCTTTGAACTTTCTTGTCCTCAGAGAGGCCTGAAACAAGGGTTTGAAGAAAAGGCAAATAAAGGCAACCGAAAGGCAACGCGATAACTACTGGGAAGGCAAGTACACGGCGGCAAGCAAAAAGCAGACAGAAAAGACCACCACCGCCAGCACCCCCCCATGGTATCATCATCATCATCATCATCATCACCATAAGCAGCAGAATTCTCACCATCACCATCAACGAGATCAGCAGGAAGAAGAACAACAACAAGAACAACAATAACAATAATAATAATAATAACAATAATAATAATAACAATAACAATAACAATAATAATAATAATAATAATAATAATAATAATGGCAACAATTAAGAACAATGATAAAAAGCAAATAATAAGACGAGCAAACGTAGTAGGAATAACAAAAATAAAAGTACCAGCTCCACCACCACCAACAACGACAAGACAACAATCAATGACTCCTTCATTCACATGGGCTCCAGCAAACCAGTCTGCCCCGATCTGGGACTCGGGCACAGGGCAGGCCGCCGAAGTAGTAGAGACCGATGATGGGAAGCACGATGGCCTTGGAACTCGCGGCCAGGTTGCGGCTGAGCATTAGGAGCGGATGATGGTAGTGAGGTAGTGGTGGCCTTTTGTGACATCGTGTGTTTCCACGGGCCTCAGGTTGATGTGGCCATATGTCGGATTGCGAGCGTAGTGAAAGGACAGGAAGAACAGTCTGCGTCCTTGCACCTCTACAATGACATTCAACCTTCAAAGCAAGCTCTAAGGGCTCTAGGGTGCCGGTGTATTGGCCATGCTTGCAAGTTCAAGTGCCGCCCCTCTGCCTTCGGCTTTCTGGACTTGGCTCTAGTGTGCTTTCTTCGAGGCCCCCTTCTCCCCGCACATCGTCGGCGAATGAAAGACCATTCTGGCCGGGCGTACTTGGGTACGCCTTGCACCAGTTTCGGCTGCTTGAGGACAAGCTTTCAGGTCCGTCTAAGCAAGTACTACATCGCTAGCAGTCAGGGATCTCAGTTCGAACAAAAATCAAGTTGGAACATGCTTCATGCTTTGATCGTCTTGATCGTAGAGAGCACCGCCGCCATCACGACAAACAGCGCAAACACAAGCGCCAAGTAACCACCCCTCCATCGGACATCGCAGCAACAAATGCAGAATGCTTGCTTGCCTCAGTTGAATTCCGATATGCCACACGGCCACACAACGAGCCTTCAATATACAAGCTGGATTAGTTGCACGGCCGTCAGCTTCTCCAGGACGGAGTCAATTCAGACCGTCCCAGCTGGCATCGCCACCCCAAGATATGATAGATCCATCGCTGAGGATAGCAGCGAATGCACGGCTCGAAGCCTGGACATGCTGCACGTCCTTCAGCTTCTCCTGAACTGAGTTGCTGTAACTACACAGAGTAGAATCGCCCCAAGTCACGACGGATCCGGTATTCAAGATCGCTGCAAATGCACGATTTGTGGCCTGGATGTGTCGCACGTCCTTCAGCTGATCCTGAACGGCACGGCTGTCGCCACCCCATCCAACATGGCCCCAAGTCACAACAGACCCATCGGTGAGGATCGCAGCAAAGGCACGATTTGTGGCCTGGACCTGTTGCACATTTTTGAGCTGCTCCTGGACGCAGCGGCAGTCGCCGCCCCAGCCAGCATGGCCCCAGGTCACAACAGATCCATCACTAAGGATCGCAGCGAATGCACCAATGGTGGCCTCGATGTGCTGCACGCCCTTCAGCTGCGCCTTGACAGAGCTGCTGTCGCCACCGCAACCGGCGTGGCCCCAAGTTGCGACGGATCCATCACTGAGAACCGCCGCGAAAGCGTAATTAGTAGCCTGGATCTGTTGCACGGCTCTGAGCTGATCTTGGACAGAGCCGCTGTCACCGCCCCAACCGGCATGGCCCCAAGTTGCGACAGATCCGTCACGTAGGATTGCAGCGAATGCACCAATCGTGGCTTCAATCTGGTGCACGGTTTTCAACTGATCCTGAACGGAGCTACTGTCGCCACCCCAACCAGCAGAACCCCAAGTCACGACAGATCTGTCGCTGAGGATCGCAGCGAACGCCTCGTGTGTGGCCTCGATGTGCTGCACGTCCTTCAGCAGCTCCTTAACGGAGTTACTGTCACCACCGCAACCTGCATGGCCCCAAGTTGCCACGGCTCCATCGGCAAGGATTGCAGCGAATGCGCGATTTGTGGACTGGATCTGTTGCACGGTCCGGAGCTGGTCTTTGACAGAGCTACTGTCGCCACCATCGTCAGCATGGCCCCAAGTCACAACAGATCCATCGCCGAGGAGAGCCGCAAAACCCCTTTCAGTAGAAGCCAGGGACAGTTGTCGAAAGTGTAAGAGCAAGTCCTCTCCGGTCTTGATGCCTGCTTGGTCGAGTGTAGCTTCTTCTCGAAGCACTTCCAAAGCAGTATTCACCAGTCTGCCGCTTCCAGTTTGCAAGGCATTCTGTGCCTGGAGTCGGAGCTCGGCTATGGTACAATTGCCTTTGCAGGTAATCCACACAGCTCTCCCGCTCATGAGACCCACGCGGACGGAGATCGACATGGCTCTTGTGGCCTTGCAAGAAGCTACCGATCCTTTGTCCCATCTCGCATCTCTGTCAGTCCGAACTTGAACCACGGACTTTCAGAGATAGGCTGAGAATCGAACGGCCTCCTTCACTACACAACTGAATCCGAAGCTGTGTGAATTCGGGTCCGCGCGTGGAGTGCGTAGGTCTTCTGCATGAAGCGATAGAACCACCTGGTGCATCACCGTTGCACCAGCTTTTGCAACAGTTTGTTGGGGTGGCGTGACTGGCAAAAACGCTTACATCGAACACCCATGTGCTAAAAAGAACGCAACTTGTGGGAGCCTCTGCCGGTAATAACTTGTGGGGGATCTACTGCAGCACGGCCGTCTCTAGCAGAGACAAATGCAGGAGGGTGAAGGAAGGATACTAGCTGCTTCAGACCTAGGAGAGGCGCATGGCACTCCTGGTACACCGAAAGGGGGCTCTTGGCATGCTTTGGGGATGGGCAGCCTGGGGAATAGCTGCTTCAAAATCTGTCTGCCCCACACCGAGGGCGGCGAACAAGCGCCAATGTACATTGACATACATCTCCTATTGGGGCAGGCTCTGCTGCAGCACACCAACCCTCCGGTGATTACCGAGAGCTTGTGCCAGCACCAACACTTGACAAACTCGTCTCTGTTGCAAGACTTGCCGTGCTGCAAGTCGGAGATGGACTGACTACTGCTGATTCATCCAACAGCCCACACCAGGAAAAGAGGAAGTCCTCGCCAATTGCCGCCAAGCTGCTGCTTGCTCAGGTCTTCGGCGTTGGAGCGGTCCACCCTCATCCACGTGCCCTGCCCCAAGAGCGCTGCCGCTTGTGCAGCACTTGTTCGACGAGACAGCAGGACAGGGGACGATGGGACGCACCAACAAAGACCCTTTGACTGACGGGCTGGTAGATGCATCAATGGATTCGATGCATCCGGCTCAGCCTCCCTAGGCGGGCCCATGGCAAACCGTAGGGGCATTTCAGACAAAGAAGGGACCCTACAGTGCTATGTACTCGTAGGATCCTTATTGGAATTGAGTAGAAAGATTCATAATTCACGGTACCTCTGATTGCAATAACGCTTTGGTTCTTTGATTGCAAGAATCCCCTAAGCGCTGAGCCGCTGAACCCTACACAGACTCCATGAAGCCCATAAGAGCCTTGTCAAGCCCGATGAAACATCTGAAAACATCCCACAAAAGCCCCCATAATCCCGTCCATAAAATGAGCCCCATGGCAGAAGATATCAGCACGAAGGTCCATATATATATATATATATATTAATATATAGAGTATGTATATATATATATACTACAGAGAGAGAGAGAGATATATATATATATATATATATATATATTGGAAGCGACTTTGCTCTTGCCGGCTCCTGCCTTCTGGTCGAGGAGCCAGCCGGCATGGGACCACCAAAAGCCATCCTTCGGGGAGTGCACATCGTTGGCCGTGTCCTTTCAGCACCGCGTCGTTTAGGATTTAACGGCTCACTTTTGGGTTGAAGGAGTGGGGTCTCGTCTTGGCTTTGCTGTAGCTGTCGAGTTGTTTGCAGGGGGCGAGAGAGCCACGGTGCCGAGCCAAAAACAAAACAGGCTGTAAGAAACACTGGACGACATGAGAGGCCAAGCAGAAGAGCTTGTTCACGCAAGGCAATGTGATGAGGGCCCGGTCTTGATACACTAGGTGCTCTGGTCAGCTAGGCCACTGACGCGCTTCCAACTTTCCCGCAAAATTGCCAACTGAAAGATGACACAAGTGTTTCTAAGGTAGAAGTGGGTTGCGATGAATCCATCTTTGACCCCTTCCCTTCACAGAGTGTCATCGCCTACCCGGGCCTACCCCACAGTCACAGCTATGCCGAGGCGCAGTGGCGCCGTGATGATGTCGATGAGAGGACACCTCAACACGCAGCACTGCCGTCAGGCACGGGAACGCACAGGCTGCAAGATAAGCCCGGAATCCGCAAGCTTCGCCAGGGCACCCAGTTGATGGGATGGCTTTGCACCGCCAAGGATCCGCAGTAGGCAAGGAAGTACTCAACGATCTCAGTTGCGGGCTGTCTGGAAGGACAATCCTATCTAGCAGCAGTGACAGCGATGCTTTCTGTGACATGTCTTGGCTCTGATGCGAGTCACCTTTGGGCTCTTGAAGGAGAGGTGGGCAAGCTGTCGATGGTACGACAGCGTAATGCCGAGCATTCCGGTGATGACCTGAACTGCCAAGAGCGGTCCGCAAACGCAGGATCCCTGGTCCTCGAGTCCTCAACTGCAGATGAGCAGTGAGTCATCCCCTCTGTCGTGCAACCGAGCTGCATAGCCGACAAAGAAGCAGGCGAAGGCCTTCCACGTGAAGTAAAATGGTGCGAAGCAGGCTCCTGCGATCAGGCGTAGCGGAGCTGCTTAAGGAAACTGCTGCCCAAAACAGACACTAGCGCTTCAGGCTCAGATGGCTCCTAGCTTGTAGACCCTCTGGTAAACTCATGAGATATTCGAGCAAGGGCTGGGAAGGAATGACTTCCAACACAATCCAGCACAACGGAGCATTAGACAAATCAGTAGCCTCCTGCCTAAAGCCACAGAGGACCTGTACCGAAGACTCCACGGTAAATGCCGCAGTGCGTGACGAGCCATATGATTGAACTCTCAAGAGAAAGACATTCCCAGGCCCGACGTGCCTACGTGGATTGCGCCTCAGGAGACATGGAGGTCAGGAATTTCCAGTGCCAGGAGCTCACAGTATGTCATGTTTGAAGAACTCCAGCCGCATGCAACAAATCCCGAAATCATGGGTTGGCATCAATAACTAAATTAGTTAATATGCATTCGGCCAAGCTAAGCGTGACAACTGAAGCTGCATCGCAGTAGCCAAAGAAGAGAGCGTAGAGGAAGTCCTGAAGGCTGGTCGGCTGGTCAGGCACTCTGACCGAAAGAACACACAAACATACACTCTCGCACACAGACACGCTGAGAAAAACTTTGTTTCACACAGAGAGCCACCAGAGTCTTGGATTCCACAACTTGTCAATGTGGTGTAGACTGGTGGCACGCAGCAGGTGCAAGGATTGCTGGTTTGAGTCGTCGTCCTTTCTGGGACGGCCCTGTCATTGCATTACGAACTCAGGGAGCCTTGAGCCCAGTCTCTAAGAGCTTAAGCTAGCCTGAAAGAGTATAGACGATGCATAAACACTGCGCGAGAAGGGCCTCAAACCGAAAGGGCGCATTGAATCGGGACCCAACAAAGGTTCGTAGTGATGTTCAGCAGAACTGAGTGCTTGCATGGAGTGGGACCAGAGCGGAATGCCTTCTTCTCCCACTGGCGCTGCCAGTATGTGCGTGGCCTTGAAGGGCACATGCTGAGTCATTCCAGGAATCATTCTGTCAATCTAGGGATGAAGTACAACTTCTCAAGGGCTCTTGTCTGGATCTTCGAGTCTGCTGACGGCTGCAACTTTGGGCTTCCACGAATGTGAAACGTCGCATCCACAGCAGGCACGAGCGACCCATGACCTCCGAACCATCCAAGCCGAGTCTGATATGACACGCCTTCATCCTTATCCCGAACCTAAGAGGCCAACGGGCCTAGAAAAGCAAAGCCTCCCGTGCTGAACGTCTGGACGTTCTAAGGACAAGGCCAATTCGTGAAGTCCCAGAACTTGCGGTTGCGGGTACTGAAGAACCTGCGTTCAGGGCTGCTTGGGGTACTAGGTCTCGGCTCGCATGGTGCTGCGGCAACCAGACTCAAAACTGAGACTTCAACGAAGGGCCTGGAGATTAACATGCCAGTAATTGTCGGAGTACTCACTCAGCCCTCCTGCCTGCTATCGGGCTACATGCCCACAAATCCGCACGTGCAATTGCCGTGCACAGGCATAGGCATGCAGGTGCATGCATGCATGCATGTGCAAGAGTGCAGTGAAAAAAATCCGCTGACGAACTTGCTTGCCCTGCCTCTGCCCTTTCTCGCCTCCACGCACCCGCTTAGCACCCTTCTTGCGCTCCTGGAGGGTGTGGACATTGGGGACGTCTCAAAGCTTCAATGAGAGACAGGAAGTTAGGAGGCTTGCAATGACGTAGACGCTGCTGTGTTCAACGAACAGTCCAGAGTTCCGGCTACAAGGCCGAAATCCTAAGACTGTACCAGCAGGGTCAAGTACTGTCTCAAGGAATGACCGGGCATCCATCACCTGGACCTCTGCATCTCAGATTTCACAGCCACGAGTCAGTCACGAATTGCATCTCAAACTCCCTGGACTGCTTGATGCGGAAACTGGGTGGAGGAAACTCCGTGCACATCACCACAGACGTTGTCTCGTACCACAGGCGGCACATGTTTGCTTCTCAGTCATGACATGTTCGGCAGCTCCAGCATGCACAGTCTCTTCAACTGCAGCCCTCGTATCGCGTTCCGCATCAAAAGCTGAGCTCTTTCTCCTCGAAATTGGCTAGCACTAAACCCGACAGACTTTGAGATGTTAAAAGGCTTGCATTCTGGACAACTGTACCCAAGCTTGACAAGGACCTTGCAGTTCACGCATTCCACAGATTCCTGCTTTATCTTCTCGAGAAGAACCCAGACATCCCGCCCCTAGCGAATCCCCCATGTCGCACAACGCCAGACTTCATTCCCAGCTCCTCGCGCACAGCATCCGCAGTCTCCGGTGCTTCCATGTTACGAAGCATTGGCTTCTTGCTGCCCTGCCATGTCAGGGAACGGGAAGCTGTGGCCACTGTCAGAACTGTCCCAACCCAAGCGGCCTTTGCTGCCAACGCCACTCTGCTGTACTTTCGCATGGCCAAAGCCGCCATGACGGTGGCAGCTGCCTCAGGGCTTCAGTTTCGTACATCTGTCAAGGGGGGGGTTTTCAAGTCAAGCTTTTCGGGCTGGGCGGGTGGGCGGGTGAGGGAGGGAAGGGGGGGTGGCAGAGTGGCAAACTCCTGCAGTTTGTGCGGATGTGGCCTAGTCACGTCACAGACTGCCAAGAAGATTGGACGAAGAGACAAACTCCCCCCCCTCCATTTCCAAGTCTTTGGACAGCAAGTCTGAGGCCCGAAGACCCAGATCTTCGACGAAGTAGGATGATCGACCAAAGAGCTTGACTGTCTGACTATATCGTATCAGCAGTCGCATTGCTATCGCTCCGGAATTCCAAAATTGGCCAGGTGACCACAGCCCACCGTGGCTGGGAGGTCACATCTTCAAAGGCCGGGGCGGCCGTGGCTCCCTGGCGCAAGACTCGTTCAGGTCTGGCGAGGTAGGACAACCCAAGCATATTTGTGTGTATATATATGTGTACACACATCTATGCATCTACCTGTCTCTGCATCCATCCATCCATCAATCTGAGAATCTGGTTCATAGGGGCAAAATTAACTTTTGCAAGAATAGTAAAAGCAACAGCATCAGCAATAGTACGAGTACTCGTACTAGTAACAGGAAAAGTAGCAGTAATAGTAGTAGTAATAGCATTTGTAATAATACGGCAAGTTGGCTAAACAAATCACTTTTGCAAAAAACAAATTAACTTTAGCGGACAATCGCCGAAGCTTCGCGAAGGCATATTTAGCTATGCAGTTGGCCGTTCACACAAATTATGACCCAAGCAGCTTCGAATCAACTACCACATATGTAAGTATCTACCTCTCTACTATCTATCCATCTATCTACTTTCCAGTGCTTCTCATGCACAAGTAACTTTACCAAGGTTCTCTCGAACCCTGTCTATGTGTACAGTTTATAGAAATGTTTCTATTTGTATGTTTGGTTTTGTATATGGTTGACAGTTAAGTACAAACCTGAATCACACCGAGTGCGGAAACCGCCTGCCCCCGACACCACCGCAACAGGGGTAAACTGAAGAGCGGCAGAAAAGGGACGCTACATCAAGAACACCTGCAGCCTGAAGGGGGCCATCAAACCTCAGGTCTCCAGGTCCAGGAATTATGCTGATTGAAATCCGAAAACCCAGTCCACCCACATCTGCTCAGTGGCAGCCGTGAACGGCGGAACGCTGAGTATCAAAACTATGCACCAACACGATCTGGGCTCCGAAATAAGAATGCTGGACATCTCGGGATCTACGCGCGCTTCACGCTCATGATTACGGAGTATCGGCGCCTGCTCGACAACCTTTCGGTGCAGTGTCGAAACGACTGTTTTCATGATTAAACAGATTAAACTCCGTCAATCTTGCATGCGTGTGGTGAACAATGCAAGGCAAACTTGAAATGAGCACTGAGCTCAAACCTCTTGAGTACTTGGATTCCCTTGTTCTGCATCATCTACTCCTGCAGAGTACGGAGCTCTTGCAGCCATGGGCATGGTACACGAAACAGAACCTCACACCCTGAAGCGCTAAACTTCCAGAGTAGATCCAAAATCTCAAAAAAGGCCCGCGACCGGAACCCCCCAAACCAGCCTGAGTCAAGGCCGAAGCCGATTGCCAGTGGCCGCTGTTGCGACCCTGGCATCTACCGCTCTAGGAGACGACCCATGGACTCCGCTTCTCGCTCTTCTCGCTCTGGGGCTTCTTCATTCGAGGGGTCGGTTCGGACCAATGCAAGTAGATCAGTTTCATTCCTTGAATCACATGCCCAAGTACACCCTACACTGTGAACTGCTCGAGGGAGGCAAGAAGCCTTACGTTGTCGGGTCTCATTGTCTGCACAAAGACCGACTGCATGAAACGATCTGAGGCCGGTGGTTCCAACCAATGCGAGAATCAGAGGATGCCAGAACACCACAGTCATGGTATTAAGAGTCAGCATGAACAGCGGAAACAATCGGAATGTGTAGTAAAGCAGTCCCGGTCACCACAGCCTGTCATTATGATCTTCTTGTTCGCCATCATCACCATCGTCATCGTCATCGTCATCCTCATCATCGTCATCATCATCATCGTCATCATCATCACCATCACCACCATCACCATCACCATCACCATGAGCATCATCACCAGCATCTCCAATGTTATCACATTACCGTCTCCTTCAGTATGAACAAATCTGTCATCGTCCTCATCTGCATAGCCGTTCGCTGCATCCTCATTTTCCCACCTCCTCCCCTCCTCCCCATCGTTATGGTGCAGGAATTCTCGCTCAAGGAAAGCAGAATCCCCAACAACAGCTAGAGCGGCAAGAGGAAGCTCCAAGGCATATGTTGCGACACGTTCCAGTAACTTTGGCTCAGAGACTTTGAAAATGAATGTGATCAGTTTAGCGAGATGGTACCGCAATTGCTGCACCTTCTTGCTGCTTCCGTTTCCCTTCCCACAGCTGCCTACTTCCGGCGCCTGCTGTGGCTGAGGGGCAACAAAAGACAATGCAAAGGTCCCGGAATGGAAAAGTGTCGCCTCAACAAAAGGCAGCTTCAAGCTTCTTTCTCAGGTTGCTGGAGTTCACTGGAGCAGGGTTATGCTGTAAAGACGCAGGAGCACCCGTGGAATGAGCTCTCGCTCCTGGCATTGCTCTGTTCATGGCCTAAGGTCCTCAGCTCCACACCAGAATGAAGAAAGCGCAGCACATGGTGGCGAGCAAACGCGGCACCATGGCTCCACGCAAGAGAGAAAAGGCTTTGGACGACACAGGAAAGACACGGAAAACGGCCTGTCGCCTAGAGGGCAATCGAACCTGGCACGAAGTCCAAGTCCTACTCCGAAGGCAAGTCACCAGGCTGCGGTCTCGGACCTCAAAGCCCACACGGCAAGACGGCAAGGAGCTACAAGCGAGCTACAATTACAAGCTCAGCCTGGGCACTTCCGAGGGAAAACGCTTTGCAAAGTCCGACGCAAAACGACCCTCTTTTTCGCGGCCGGGTCCTTCTCTCGGACACTCGTGCCAAAGGAGGAAACCGATTCCTGCTAGTGTTGGCGGCAGCAGAGTACAAGTAGTTGCAACTTGGGCATGTGATCTCGGTCTGATCTAACGTCCAATCACCGCTGCTGCGGTCAGGCTCCCTAGCGAAGGCCTACTGTGGCAACTATGGCCTACTGCAGCAAAGGCCGACTTTGCGTACCTCTGCCTGAGGGTATTGAAAGGATGACTTGATTAGCAAAGCCCTTCAATCTGTCCGGTGAGACCGATGGCAGCAACCAAGCCCGCAAAACGTACATAAAGGCTGAAGTTATCATTCAGTTGACTCGATGCGGGCATCTGTGGCTACTTCCCCTGTCTCACGAAGCTTCAAGAACTGTCGTATCAGAGCGGCAAATGCCTAAAAGCTGGTCATACTTTGGCCGCCAGCGACGTAACCTGTGCAATGACTGGCAGACTTCCGGGCCTGAATAACTCTCAGATACTCTCAGAACTCTACAGACTTCTACCCGATTCTGCCCACTCAGAATTGCGAGGAGCCCAACAAAAACGGCCTGAGGCTGTTCGTCTTCATCCAACACCACGCAGGCTGCCTTCCTTGTGCAGGCTTCCTGTCCCAGGCCCCGGGTCCCTTTGGGCCACATCCCGCTTCAAAAGGGCTCACACGGAGTTTGAGAGCATGGAGGGCTCAAGGTGCTTGGGTCTGCGCTCGGCCCCGGTGCAGGCCATCGCTTGAGGGTGTTTCTTGATCGCTTCGTGTGCTGGCATCTTGAATCTGACTGGTATAATCTGATGAGACAGCAACCACATGTCGCACAACTCCCGTGACACGACGTGCCCATGAAGAGATCTAGACAGAGTATGACAGAGTAGCTGATGGCACAGGCCCCGTTTTGGGAGGAGCAGGCACGGTAACGAAGCCTCCACCCCGGCGTCAACATGCATGAACACTGTTAGGCACAGGAAGGAAGTCCTGGGGTCAATTGCTCGCGAAGCTGTGATCAAATTTATTCGGTATCTCCCTACCGTGTGCAGCTGTTGCAAATACTTTCTGGCACGTCATGGCTCAACCCGCTTTCCGCATCGAAACTGATCGTCAGCAAACCGGCAACCTGCGCTCTGTTCCCCAGTAGCCTCCCATGCTAAGGCGCCGAAGGAGCCGAGTGACCCGACATTGGGTACCTCCGAAGGATCGGGGAAACTTAGTAAGTAGTTATTCTGCGGGTATGAATCGGTTTCAAGTAGGATAACTCTACATACCTGCAAACTCGCTTTAGCGTTTGGGTGTGGACTGAAGGTTCGGGTTAAAAGCTTCATGCTCAGGCTTTGGGCTTGTTGGTTTGGAGTGCGGCCACAACCTTCTCAGTGAACTTGGGACTGGTGGGGTGGGTTGGAGACGATGGATGGTTTCCGGAGTTCCCAACATGGGAGCTTGGCAAAAGATACCGGCAAGAAACGAGATCCAGCATGAAACTCGCATGAACTGCACTTAGCCACCCTTCTCCAAGGCAAAGCCCTTGTTCTTCCCGTCGAGGCTTAAGTGGCAACGGTTGCAAAACCCCCCAAGAAGCCGCCAAGCCCTAAAGCACATGGGGGTTTCCGAAAATAGTGGACCCTAATACGGTACCCCAAAAGTAGGATCCTTTTTATAAGGACCCCAAATAAGGTACCCCTGATTTTCGGAGACTCCCCACATGGCTGCTTGGAACAGGCCTCAAACGCCTCCAGGAGCTCCCCGGAGTTGCCTGCAAAATGCAGCTGCAAAGAGGCCCGGCTTCGACTCAGAATCTCAGAAAAAGCTCTTTTTCAGGGCTTAGGGTCGAGTTGCTTTGTATGTTGCTTCATTCTTCTTTTGGCTTTTAGTGGACCCTGTTCCACCAGAACCTCAGGGTTCAGGCCTCGGGCTCCAAACAGGCTTCAAAGGGTCATGGCATGAGCTACAGCCCTGTCGTTCAGATTTGGGGACCGGCGACTGCGACTGCAGGATCAGCTTGGAGCTTTGAGTCTTTGCAGCAAGGGTGAGGGTTTGGCTTCGGAATCTCACACTTCTTCCGGTTTAACAAGCCTGATACCCGGTACAGTTGGCAGGCAGCATGCCTACTGTTCCAGTACTCAGCTCTGTGGACGCAGTTTCAGCTAGCGCGGCTAGCGGGTCTTCGGGAGTTGGCTTGGGTCGATATTCAGTTGGTGCGGGCTTGCTGCAAGCTCTTAGCTCAGGTGCTGTCGAAGACTGCTCAGCTGCCTGCTGATGCATTGGTTAACCCGCAAACCAGCGAATGCGGTCTTTTCGTTGCAAGGACATTCCTTGACTCAGATTTTTCGCCGAGCAGATCCTGAAATGATTTGTGACGAACAAGGGCAGCAATGTTACTTTTCGGTGCCAGCAGGAGCATGAGCGCATCTTGCCTGAAGAGGATGTTCCTCTTCGCAGGATCATGTCCTGGCTGGCTCCAGAAAGCGGTAGAAGCCGGAAGTGTGTAGATCAACAGCTAGACGGCGAGGTGTACGTGGAGCCTGGCTTTATCCTGTTCGCTTGGATGCCTGGGGATGGAGCCCGACGTCAATCCGAACCCGGAGCCTGCACAAACGAAAGCTCGCACCAGGCAGAACACCTGCACCTTAAACTCTCGAGCCTCCAGAGCGAAGATGCCCTGGACTCGGAAACACCGCCTGGCAGCGCTCTTTGAAAGATATGGCCCTGTCACTGGCGATCGAACACAGTGGTTGCTAGGTTTTGTAGTGAAAAGACGTCTTCAATCGGCTGCGCGGTGCATTTTGGGTCCCGTGTCTTGGGCAAGCTGGCAAAGGCAGTCACGTGCAGAAACAAACAGATCAATTGCAAGAAGGTCTGGCATCAGAGCGACATCTTCCCTGCCATCCTGCAGGCACCGCGAGTCCTGTACATAGCATCTTGGTTGCATTAAGATGAGCGGTATGGCCATGGCGTAACGAAGTCTGTGGCCCGCAACCATAAAGGAGACGGGAGAGCCCAAACCCCAACAAAGGAGTAAGAACCCAAACACCGTGCCACCCGAACAGGGCCTCGGGGGCAAAAGCCGTTCCCGGAGGTCCGGCGACGGAGAGTACCTCTCGATTCCAAAGTTCAGAAGATGAGGATGACCAAGCTAGCGTTAACCAACCTACTGAGACCCACAACTGGAACACAAGGAACGAGAGCTGCAGGGCACGCTGCAACATCCCTTGAGGAACTGCTGCGAACCTGCTGCAGTGCTGGGGGCAAGAAGCTCGGGTGCGACATTGCGAAGTCTTCCGAAGAGTTCGCTGAGGGTTCAAGCGTTTGATTAGGCTTAGTTGCTGCTTTGGCTGATGTTGTCTTCACTGAAGGGCCTTCTTCGGGAGGTTTACATGACACAAGTCGAGTCTATTGTTGCAGGGGCTTGAGGAAAGATTCAGAAAGGAGAGCCACAGCTTTAGGGTATTGTTGTCTTTGCTGCCCGTCGTATTCTCGTATTGCGATTGAGACCAAGATCAAGCAGCTGGGGTTGAAGAGCAACAGCTGAACCCGTCCCCTAACCTGGCATCCGAGAAACCATACCATTTACACATCGTACGCATCGTAACCCGTCTTGTGCATAGAACCCTCACCTTTAAAGCTCTTGAGCTTTCAATGGAAGTTCACATCCCTAGCCGCCCTTTCTTCAAGTGCTGCACCTTGAAAACGAGTGCAACACTTCCTCCTTCCAATGCGGCCTGCATGAGAGGCGACGGTCAAAATGCTCGGGGTCTGTGCCGGGAAATCGGGGCTTTTGAACTGCCAGCTATCTCACCTGCGAACCGGGGACTCGTATCCAGGACATATGCAGTAGCTGCTCCCAGCAATGAAAGTGGTGCATCCTCATCTGTTGGGCAGCCTCCTTGGCCAGCATGGGATCAGAGGTCACGGACGTGCAACCTGCGAGCTGAATTGGATCTCCTCTGTGTCAATGATGTATTAACATCAAGATACACGGGATGTTGAGTTAGACAGTTAGACAAGATGAAGGTGAGCACGTGGCTTCCGACAGTTCAGACCGCAAGCGCTGTCAAAAATCAAGCTTTCGGCAACCATTGAGTACATAACTACAAGATATCGTTTACGACGTTCTCGAGTTCCTGTTCGTTGACACTAGTCGAAGGGTTCCTTAAAACAGATGCACTAAAGATTCTGCAAGACAAGTGTGATAAAGTATCACATGAACTTCAGACTTGTATTTCCTGGGCAGTTGGGAATGAAGAGGGTTGTGGCGCGCGGATGCTTGATCGACATTTTTGGGTCAGGTGATGGGTGGACTGGTCAACGACTGTAGAATGGATAACGAGGTTTAGGCGACTTGGGCTATATCATGAGTCGAACTCCTCCACTGCCGACACAGACCAGAACTCCGAACAAAGTCTGATTCTTCCGGACAAGTTCAGTTTTAAGTTCAAAGCATCGGACCCGTGCCTCGCCAAAGCAGGAGGTTTCCCGGATGGAGCGCGGAGAGGCCGTCAACCTCAGAAGTTCGAGGGATAGACTTCACGGTTCAAGTCGGCTTGTCGGGGCTGGATGACGTTAGTTCAGGGCTCAGTCTCCCGACCACCCTTCGTAAGCAGCAACTTTTGCAAGCTGACATCCGTCACGATGCATCCGAGAGGCTTCCCCTGTCAAAGCCTCCCGCAGTGTTCCCGACGGGGTGGACAGGCCTCGGCCGGTTTTAGTGGTATGGGAACTATTGTGGTTTGGGGAAGGCTTGTGATTCTGCTCCCCTTTCAAGGTTGCAATCTCACCCCGCTCGTCGGTGCCTGTACTGTGTTTATTGTGATGCATGCTAATGATCAACAACTCTTCTTCCCCACCAACCCCACCTCCACCTCCACCCCCAAAGACCACTGGCATCAGCAGGATTACAATGACAACGCCAGGAACTAACAAGCAGCAATGGAACGGATGACGGCGATAACACCGCCAACACCTCTGCAACGCCTGCTGCGATCATTGCTCGACGATAGCCCTGTGCGACTGCACGAGGTTCGAGCCCAAGCCCAGGAACTGAACGCCGCGCTGTGCGGGAAGGGCCTCAGGAAGGGGCTTTCGATGGGATGCTGATCTCAGGATGGCTGAGACAAGCCTGAAATTCATGCTATACCCTCCATGCCTCAAAGTGTTGCGCAAGCTCTTCGCGTCGCCAGGCATGGCGGCCCGATCACTTCTATTGTCGTCGTTACCGCCATCGTTGTGGCTATGATTGCGATTGCTACCCCAATCGTAATTCCCGCCTGAACTTAGCGACGAATGACCTTTGAAGAGCATCAGGGGGGGCTCCAACAAATCTGCAGCCGAAGCTGTCTACTTGCGAAGGACCCGAAACTGCATGGAAGGCCTCCACCGCGAGCTGCAGCTGTGTCAAGAATGGCAACACTTCCTGTTTCCGGAGAACAACTTCGAGCTTGCAGTGGGCCGCTGAGTAAATTTAGCTCTCCTTGCGCTCAGGGTTTCACCATTTCCGAACCTTCTCAAAGCCCGGCTCCTGAGGTCATGCGCCCCCCTGCCTCGTCCGATGGCTTAAGAGGCGCTTGGGAGCAGAGAGCCGCAAAGCTATCCGACAGCTTTGCCAGCAGCCTGGTCACCAGAGTAGGTGTTGGGGGGGCGGGGTGGTGGTGTATGGGTCTCATTCATGAATCTCGTGCTGCCCGGCTGTGCCACAAGAACTGGTTCTTGGACCGGATCTGATGGTTGTAGTGGTATCGGGCCTGCAGGGACAATATGCAGGAGTTGGGGTCCTGAAAGATGTTTTAATACATGCTGTGTGTCTGCATCAATATGCAGGGTTTTGGCTCAAGCCATCGCAGGGATTTGGCTTCGGCATTGTTGCGTTTCGGCTTTCTTTTCAATTCAGGCTCTGCCCAGATGTTGCCAAACTAACTACGACAGGTTGCTTTGTTTCACTGGCGACCCACAATACCTTTGACACCAACTCCGTGTCTTGGAAAGCCTCACACTCCGAGCATTCTGAGTGCTCCATGCCAATGCCTGCGCCCTCAGAACTCAAGAGCTTCAAGCACGACTTTCTCTCCCGAATGTGTTTAGCTCGAAAGCCTCTGCGACGAAGGGCGGTGTCGCGTCGTACTAGATGCCAGAGTACGTTTTTTTTTCCGGTTGCGTTGTACAGTCAGTGCAGACCCTGGCTGGTCAGACCTGCCAGCGCCGGGTTTCGCCCCCAAGACCAGGCCTCAGTCTGAAGAGTCCCTATGGCACTATGGCATGCTATGGCCCTATCAACTCCATGGCCTTGCCTCGCTTTGCAGCCGGCTGGGGAGCGGCTGTTGACGAGGAATGAAGAACCAAATCGGATACATAGTGCTGCCGTAGAACCCCTGCACGGGCTGTAACTTCCACCAGGGCTGTGGCGAAGTGCCATAGCGGAGGGCAGTGTCGTCGTCTGACCCTCGGCCTGGGTCTGCCATCTATCTTGTGTGGGTATGTTGTGCAAAAGGGTTGTCGGGTTTAGGGATGTCGTATGGGCTTTGTCAAGTTGGTGGCTCATGCTGGCATGGCGAAACGCCTGGCTCAAGTCCTTTTCCTCCGACTGTTATTGGGACGGGTCCGTATGCAGCTTCCATGGCCTGCGAGATACGAAGCATCGACAGAACACAAGCCAAGGAGACTCGAGTCCCGAGTGTGACGAACATACCGGAAAAGCTTGTAGGTCTCAGCTCCGTGCAAATCTTCTGATGGCAAAGACCTTTGCTGCCTGCAGTCTTAGATTCAGTTGCTTTCGGGTGCCATGGCTCCAGGGTGCTCCAGGACAATACGGTAAGACCACGAGGCTTGAGTTGAGTTGGCTCGCGGTGAATCCGTCCCTCGAAGAGTTGAGCTGATCTCTTTAATCTCTTTGCTCCTTCATTTCACGGTTACGCAGTGTCTGAGAAGCTGCGCTTGAGGTTCAAAGTGTGGACAGAAATCTGGAGTGGCTGTGGTGATGACTACTATCGTCATTCTGCGATTCTGGTCAGAGCAGCATCGGCATGAGTCTTATTGTTGCTGCCGGTCGAGAAAAGATGATGGTGTCTACCAACGTCCTCATGGCTATCATCTGTCTCATCTTCATTCTCCCCGTCTCTTGGCAGGTTCGACATTATCGTGACATTGTCGGTGACATAAACTGCACCCCGAGGAAACAGACATCCTCCAAACCAACAAAATGCTTTGTTTTCAGCAGCCATGGGCAATGCGCGGTCGTCGCCAGATGTCACCCCTAGCCATCTATGCTTGCTCAAGATCGCCGCATCCATTGGGCGGACCTGTTGCAAGTACACCCAAGTGACTGTACCTGCGGCTTGGCTTGAGCAACTGTGCGTAAAGCTGTTACACACGGGCGGCTGTGCGGCGTCTTTGGCCGCATGCCTCCAAAACTAAGATTAAAAGATGCGCGGCTGGCATCAAGACCCCAATCCCTTCATGACCTCTGCGCTGAAGCGCTGTCCAAGCTGCTCGAGCCTGAAAGCACGGCCCCGAGGGACAGTGGCGAGGCTACTAGACAAACTACACTTGCAGCACCAGCAATAGCTTGTAGTTCATGGCAGGTATCCTTTTCAGATGCATCCAAGCTGCGAAATGTTCATCGTATCCACAGCACCTGAGACAGAAGCTCCCGGAGACAACAATTCATAAGCTACAGCATCAGCCCAGGCGCGTGCAGGACACAACTCACCCTCATGCCAGCCGTGCCGTATATGGAACATCACACACATCGAGCCTCGGAACAAATATGATGCGGAAGAAGCCCGCTGCGTGGGCTGGGGGAGGCACTGTGGCGTTGATGAAGCAGGTGGAGGATAGAATTCCTCGGGCTCAGAGATCGAAGGCCCAAAACGGATGTGGCAGTTTCCCGTATCAATTCTCTTCATCATCCCCATTTTTCTAGACTTGGGGTGGCTGCGATGATTTCGGAGCTGAGTGTGCTCAGCCTGCTCAGCTGAAAGCAAGCAAGTCCCTGCACGAGATGCCGAGTAACTCCATGCAGACGGTCACGAACCTTACCTCCTGCAAGGGCCAACTGCACGATTGCTGTCAAAAACTTGCACCAAGAAGCCTGCAGTACAGACCGGACCAATGATGTTGAAGCATGATATCGGGCTGGGCATGGCAGTCCCTGTCAGTCCTTGCGCTTCTGCCCCAGACGTCGCAGTCGACCGCGCAGCTGATGTCTCGATGCAGCGTTGCCTGCATAGGCTCCGGTCACCATGACTCCGAGGCCTCAGAATCTCAATGTATCAGTTCAGCATCTGCAGAGCTTCGGCCAGCCGTGCCGTATGCAAGAGGGCTCAGGTCCTTTATGCAGGTTGTTGAGAGTCAGACTTGTGCGCAGAACGGTTTACAGCTTGCCATGGCTCAGAGGTGGGGCAGGCTAAGATTCAGCCCAGCGACGCCTTGCGGAGTTGTATCCCCGATCTTTGTCCTGAAGTCGCTCAACGCAAAACAGCGTGCGGACGTCCTCCCTCTGCATCCCTTGTGCAACCGGCCTTCGTGACCACAACGATTGCAAAGCGCTTTGCATCTGGCGCTTCTAAGGAGGCGAAGTCGCCCGTAGGAAGATGAGGGCTGCAAAGATCTCTCAGCTTCGCGGCATGCTGCAGCCTGGCACGTTTAGTCAACGGCGATGCTTGCAAACAAGCCTGGGGTCTAAGTGCCCTGAGTGCGTGCTGGGAAGCGAATCGGCAACCAGAAGAACTCCACCGTCCGCGTGGGATTTGCGGTCCTGCCGAGACAGTGAGTAAGCCTCGGTTTACTGGTGCTTCTAGCATCGGCGTTTTGGTACAGCAAGGTCCAGCTTCTTCTTTCCTGCAATGCTTCGTGGAAACGCCGCAATTCACAGCCTGATCTTCCAAACCTGACCGGGCCGGTCCTGCTTTGCAGCTTTCACTGCCGCCTCTGCCATGGCCTTGTCTGTGTGTTCCTGCACCACACCTTGGGGGCACCAGCGACAGAGAGAGCCACTGTGGGGCATGTCCGGGGCGGTCTGTTCAACTGAAGCTTCGAACCGAAGCAACGAAGTCTGCAGGGTCTTCGTGGTGCCCGGGGTGGAACGCCATCTTCGGCGAACTGCTTCTGATACGCAGGCTGGAACAAGTGCTTAGTTAATATCGGCATCACCATCACTACATCACCATATCATCATCATCATCATCACCACCACCATCATCACCACCATCATCAACATCATCATCACCATCATCGTCGCCATCATCATCACCATCATCATCATCATCATCACCATCATCACCATCATCACCATCATCATCACCACCACCATCATCGTCATGGTCATGGTCATCACCACCATCGTCATCATCACCAGCTGCAGCATCAGCAGCATGACATAGCATGACTGCATGTCCACAGATGATAGCATCATCATGACGCTGCCTATAGCCGTCCTGCCATCACGCCTTGCCCACAATGCCGCACAATTAGCCTCACACACAAGCTAGACTTGACTCGGTCTCTGCAGCTGAATGGCGTGCCATCTCCAGCCATCGCACCTGTGTGGAGGCTGGTGCGACAACGAAGCCGGTCGACTTTCTCCGAAAAGTACCACGTCTTTGATCAGGTAGCACGCAGGGGGGAGAGACAGAGTGACTCTGACAGGGAGAGAGACGGAGAGAGAGAGAGAGAGAGAGATAAGAACACACCTACACCGTGGAAAGTGCTTCACGGTGTTTTGATTCTAGGTGCCACGCAGGAGGTAGGCTCAGCCGGACGGACAACGCGAGAGAGAGAGAGAGAGAAAGACGGAGAGAGAGAGAGAGAGAGAGAGACAGAGCGAGAGAGAGAGAGAGAGAGCGAGCGAGCGCGAGAGGGAAAGAGAAAACAAAGAGGCCGAGAGTCAGAGACGGACAAACACACTGACAAGATCCAACAGAAAGAGGCTGGATCGACTTTAGCCACACAAACATAAGTATCTTACACTGAGGATATATGGGCCATGCGAAGAGGGCTTCCAGAAAACTTGATTGTGACTATGACATCCGTACGTTTATCTTGTTTTTCGGGCTACGCTTGCTGTGTTCTTGCTTTGCTAGCCACATTCAGATTCGCTGCGTTGTTGGTCCATTGGATGCGTCTTTTACTTCGTTCGTGTACCGACGCCAGGGCACGGTAGAGCTCGAGGAGAGCAGCTTGCGGCACAGAGCGCGAACCTGAGCGCAAGAATCAAAGCTGACCTTCCTCTAAGATGCTGCATGAAGAAGGGCCTCATCTACCATCGGCACGAGAATGTCTTCCTCGACAGCTGCAATTCCTGCCAATGCAAACGACACGCTCAACCGTGCAGCATGTAAGCTTGTCATTGCGATTGCATTAGGAGTAAATGCATTTGTTGCATCGCGTGGCCTAGCTCCAGCTGCATCGACACCATTCCAGAGGCCGCCACAAGCCAATTCTTGGTATCAACCGGGAATGAGCATGTGTCCTGGGCGACTTGAGCATATAGGACATGCTTTCAGTTCTGAGAGTGAGAGGGAGATGTGGCCCAAGTTAATCTTCAACAGCGACTTGACAAGCATCCGCCAACCATGCCAATAACTGTGACTCGTTCTTGCGCATTGGGGTCGCTGTTTGCGCGACGAACTTTGGGCCTCAGCCGTGGGCGTCTGCTGCCAAAACCAACTGAGAAACTTACTTTAGCACAAGTCCTACAAATTCGCGACTAGTGTAGGATACTGTGAAGTAAAGACCGAGTGAAGCAGCCAGGGAAGTTCTGACAAAAGCTGAGGTGGTCACAGAGTTGGCACAGTCTGCGGGCCGCAGAAGTTCGCAGTGTTGGTGCATACATCTCATCCACTTCATCAAAGATGATGAACGAGGATGTAGCCTGGAAGGAACCAACGCAGACCCATGGCGCTCCATTTCTACCTACAGCGACGAGCATGCCTAGGCAGCTCTAACAGCTTCAGCGGGACCGGCCGTGCAGATCTGGAATAGGCAGAAATCAGAACCAGAAGTTGCAGCGCGAATCCCGGGCCTGCTCGGCCAAGCCTTTGTCGATGGCAGTTCGCAGGTGATCTGCGTGGATCACATTCCTTGAGAACATCTCATGGAACGAGGTTGGCAGAGCTACCGTATATCCTGATTTAGGGAAAAAAAGCCACCACCGGCCCTGACTACCCCCCACTGCCAACGAAGCTGAGGAACACCATGAAATCCTTGAGAACCAGCTCGAATCCTTCCCCGGCTTTGGGCTTTTTGGCGGATGAGATCCGTGGCACAACGTGCGTGGGACAATGCCACGTTTGACCTTGGCTGCAGAAAACTTAGAAGCGCAACCCCGAAACCTCGATCTAGAGCCTGGCATTAGAACCCGACCACAAGCAAGCCACAATGTCAACAACAATGCTCGCAAGTAGCGCATGGTAGTAGCAGTGTTGGCGCTACGAGTACTCCTTGATGACATCAGGACCGTATTCTAGATGTTGCCATGTACAATACTTCGTAGCGCAAAAGCATCGTCGCAGTACAAACGACAGTTTCACACATCGAAGCTGCTTGCAGCCTGGCTTCATAGCTGCTTCACCAGATTCTCCACCTTAGTCTCTGACCATGCAGCACAACACTGTTGTCGTAACGCAAGCACCTCCATGAAAATAATCGTCAAAATGACCTGCAAGCGATAATCGGAACTCAATGGCAACTCAACCATACCCAACCCCACCTCCAAGCAGATCTTCCTAAATTTAAACACCAGTCCAAAGGTTGCGAATCTTTCGATGCGCCCTTGATGTCTGATGAGAGGTGCATGTCCTAAAGCTCCCTTGCGTTGAGAGGCATTCATCGAACCAACATGGCTGTGTTGACACTATCTCCTAAAAATACCTAGCTTTCAGAGCCCCTGCAGTCTCTGCAGAGGTGTAAAACATGCCGAGAACTGAGATTCTAATCCTTGCAAGACGAGGCGCCGTGCCGGCTGGGGTGACCCAAAGGATTCGTCGCACTGCCTTGCCGCCTGTGCTGCAAAGCCACCTTCGCTTGACACGTCGGAGCTTTTCGGAATTCAGGATTAAAGGTTCTGGCTTCTCCCGAGCCTTTCGGAAGACAGGAACACATAGACTGTTGGATGTCAGGGAGCTGAAGGGAGCTGACTTTTGTCGGACTGCTAGTCTGCCGGGCACCTATGGAGCCCTGATTTCAGAACTGGGAAGCTTGATGAACCTTGACCCTGGAACTATAGTGACATTCGCATCTCTTATTCGGGGTCAGAGACAACCCGGCTGCTCTCAAGCAGCAACAACAGCGCCCACATCCGAACTTCAAACAGAGGTTTTCTCACAAGCGTACCTACTCAGTGTCTTTAGTGCTTTTCGACCCTATGCTCGAGAGCCTGTAGGCGTAGACCAGTGATGTCACCGTCTTGCCCAGGCCAGTGTCCATGATGAGGAAGTGTCCTGCTTCCACTTCCAGGCCAAGAAACTCGATGATATACATTCTTACATCTTGCTACGAGCACTTCGCGACTCTGACTCCTTGCGATGCTGCCCTGTCGGCCGATGGAGCACAGGGAGACAGGCTCCGGGGAAGGTTAAGCCTCAAGTCTTAGCTACGCAGTAAGACTACAGACTCCTTGGAAGCCGCAGCAACTCAAAGTTGTCTCAAAAGCATTCGGAAAGTGAGGGTTTGGAGGCAAAGAGTTCTAGGTTCTAGGTTTACTTCGTTACCGTGGCAGCAGACAAGTCCTCCACATTTCATTTCCCGATCTCGCTGGTGCATCCCTGAGTGGGTGCATCACATGAGACCCACACTCCCACCGCCAGGTTCGGACTCACGATCCGGAACGATCCATGTCATCCGAAGCCTCCAGCGACACGAGACACTAAAAACAACACTGCAAGCGAGTGGCTGTCGACGGCTTCACGCTGGTGCTCCAGGAGAGACTCGTCGGCATGTGACATGGCAGTCCAGGATGTATGCCTCCGTTTCTCGACTTGTTCGCATGGATTTTTGGGCCGTTGCACTCTTGCTTTGCAACCTCCTCCAACCGGTGCGGTCTCCGTTGTGGAGTTTCGCAGCCAAAATCAAGAGGAGTCATCCGCGAAGAAGAAAATGGTACAAATGCCGAGCCTGGATACCCCTCCCACTGAGCAGAGCTTTTGGGTATGGAGGCAGCAGCATTTTGGCGGAGCATGGCCCGCTCCACACCAGCCATTATCCATCCTGGCACTCAAGAGGGCAAGCCCTCCATCAAAAATCCAGCAAGGGTCACACCCACGCGAACAGTAGCTTCAAGACAAAGGCCTTGCAAAGCTATGTAGCTGATTCTATAACCCTTGAGATGTGTCCACTTGCAGCCTCGACCTACTCACAAACAAGCAGCTCGTCCCATGTCCGGAGTCGAACCCTGAATCGATTTAACCTGACACGAAACACCATCATGTTGAGTTGAATTTCTTAAAACCCCTCAAGACAAAGAAACGAGTCCCGAAACTCAATCATCAACCCTCACTCAATCAAAAAACCGATCCCAAAAACTCAATAATCATCCCTGGTCCCTGAAAGAACACTTAAGGCCCTTTTGTCAGCCATCCCAGAGTCCCACAAAGAGACATCGAGCGTAGTAGCACTGGGACCCCCCTCCCTAAATAGTCAATCAACCCTGCTGGGGCCTGAAATCAAGCGAGCGGGGGGGGGGGGGGGGGGGAGGGGGGTTATCAATATGATCTCAACATTAAGCAGCGCACATCCACCTTCAACCACCCGCAGGATGACGGGATTGGTCACAGTGAAGTTCGGTGGCATCGTGGGACGCAGCGCTGTCGGGGCAGTGCGCGAAATGAGGACCAGCAGTCGATACACCAGCCAATCTCCTCAGGGTCTGTGTCTTTGGACATTGGAGCGCTTCCATCTAAGCTAAGCCAATCTTCAGAAGTTCGGCACGTCGTGGTGGACACAGAGATACATCTAAGTTGGATTCGGATCCACGCAGAACATCTGTGAGCAGGAACTACGGCAAGTCCGCCCTTTGACCAACGTGGATGGGGTATTACGAGGCATATTCCCCGAGAAGTTTCCGTCGTAGGCAGCCAGCTGATCGGCCAAACCGCCCTGCAGCGAAGGCGTTGGCATGGAGACACTCACATACCTCAGGAGCGGGTTTCAAATGAGAGCAAGCCATGAGACAAATCAACATTGGGGAGCCCCAGGCCCTAAACCACAAGATACATCTAACTGAGACCTTTGTGAGTTGCTTACAAAACTCCCGAATGGACTCCTGAACCCGTGAAAAGCCGATCGTTGTAGGATGAGACTTAGACTTGGACCTCGTATGTCCTTTGGAAACCGAGAGCTGGAGATACGATGATGGCGTTTGGTTCCTCTTGAGGCCTTGGGTGTGTCGGACATTCCTGGCTTTCAGAACAGAACCCTGTGAACGCATCAGGCATCAGTCTGCCCGTCTGACTTTCATTGACCGTTAATTACTCTAAAGAAACCGACACCTCCAACCATAGCCTCGCTCTCTCCACTCCACGATAGCTCCCAACCACGAAGGATGAAGGAATCCCAGTTGCTGTTGCCGAAGGAGGGAGACAGCCCTCAGCGACACTGCATGCGGCAAGGAGCTCACCAGGGTCAGCACCACCTGAAGGCACACACAGGGGGTTTGGATTCTGAGGTTCGAGTCGAGGTTTAGGATTCTACGTCTTCGCGCAGCATGAGAGGAAGCCGGTGTAGAGTCCCAGCAAACTCCCAGTTTTGAGGTAGTTATAAATAGGGCCACCTCATGGTTCGAATAAGTTTGTACATTGATTCAGCGGTTCAATGGGCTGCGGGACCAGTTCGGTCAGTCCAGTATTGCAGGAAGTTATCACACAGAACATTAGGTCAGAAAGGCCATTGCAGCACAGCGAAATCCATGGTCCAGGAGTGGAGACATTCTCTGGCATTGGGACACATCGAAACGAAGCGGATCAAGACCAAACAAGGTAAGGACCCAGGCCTCCTCTGCACGTGGAATCATGCCGGCTCCGGTAACTCCGAGGGCCTCCCGTCGGACTTCTGCAAACTCAGCCAGTCCGTGCCGGTCCGTGCCTCTTCCAGAGCCGCGTCATTCCGTAGCAAGGCTTCTGCATTCTTGCTGTTCAAGGTGTCGCACCAAGAGGGTGCGGCCACCTGAGCAAGTCCACAGCAGGCCTTCTTCCCGAAATCCCCACCATCTTCCACGATGAGCCCTTCGCCTGCGGCACCTTGATCCGGATGCCCTTGCTCACAAGGTCGGCCCACTTGGTGCCATCGACGTGCCTCGGATCGAAAGAGCAAGAGCAGCAAGAGCTCCAAGCAACAAAGGAGGAATGAGGAAACACCGGAGCTTTTGACTTGGCAACAACTCACAGACTGTGGAGCTTCGATGGTTGTTCTGCGGGTGTGCCGTTCTCCAATCTGGGTTGCTTGGCCTTGCGGACCAAGGGATGCTCTAGTTGGGCAGGGGTGTTCGTGTGACGCAAGTGCAGGAGCATTGCTCTCTCCTACGCACGTGGTCTTCGACACAACGCACTATGCTGAAGCCCAAACCGCACCTCGCCTTCCACAGAGCATGTATGGTAGCCGCCCGTTTGAGCCCAATCCCTCAACGACCACTTCCGACCCGAATGTTCCTTAATGTTGAACTTCAGGATATGCGCGAGCCACGGCGCCAAGACCCATCAACGAACTTGGCCTCGTGCAGGCCTGGAAGCAGCAGTGACTGCACTCGAAGCTGCTGGCTGCGAACGGCAGCTACAGCTTCGGTCCGCTCCTGGTCAGAGGGTTTGAAATCAACATGCCCTATAGACAATATCAAGGATGGCTTGTATAAGGTCGCAGCAGCTAGAATCGTTTTTTTTGGTGATTCTGCTGGACAGAGTAGCGGATTATCGACCGCGACTGAAACCGTTGCCTGTCGCTCAGAAACAAGGCGGATTGTAGTGGCACTAGTACAAGATCTCGGCTCCTGGTCTGTCAGGTCGCCAAAGAGGTCGCGTGTGGCCCTTGCTGGCTTCTGCATGACCTGAGTCCGCATCATGTGGTCGGAACGCAAGAAGGACGTCGGACCGTTTAGATGCGTGTGTAGAGCAGAAGAAGCAAAGCAAGATCCCAAAGATCTAGGCCAGTGGCGACCTCGTCTTCCGGACACCGTACCCCCAGTAAGACCAACAGGTCTCGGCTTCCGCGCTTGCCTCGGACCTTCGTGGGCACGGGGCCGACGGCAGCAGAGAGGACGCCGGGATCAAGCTCCAGGCTGACCCAGGCACCATCCTGGGTTGCTGCTATGGAACCCTTTAAATTGAATTACTGTAATAAACAATTACAGGCCGTTTATTAACTGCATACCCCATTATGGTAATCTAAATTAAACTCCTTAACAGCAACCCGGCATCAGAGATGAGAGGAAGCAGAGTCTTTGGCTTCTGCTGCGCAGCATTGAGGCAGCACTGCTGAGCGAAGCGGGCCCTCTGCACCTCAATCCTGGACTCGAAGCCTTCCTTGGCCAGGAGAAGCAGGGCCGTGACAGTATTTTTTTTTTTGAAGGTGCTTGGCCAAGACGGGCGAAAGGGTATGCAGGGTTTGCGCAGCTAAGAGTCCGGATCGGCCAGGCGCGGGTTGAAACCCGTGCACTTGCTGAAAAGCGACTGGAAGCGCAAAGCGAAGGTGGACTCTGCGCCTTCCCCAAGGACGTGGGCGATGCCGCGGTAGGTGTGTTGGTCCACGAGGTGACAGAGAGGCATGACCTGGGCTTCGCACTGAACGAACTTGGGGACGCGACTCGAACGGGAGATCGAGGGATCTTTGATCTTTGTAAAGCATTCCCAAAAAGACGCAGGACCTCCGGGCGCTTGGCCGCATGTTGCAATGGCAGTTTGCCCGCCTTGCTTGCAGCGGCGACTTGGTCGAACATCGCCATGTCCCCGGAAAAGCTTCGCAGCAAGTGAAGGAGCTTGGCGGAGTGCTGGAACGAAGTGGCCTGCCCCTTCGACACGTTTATGTGCTCGTGGGCTTTCCGGACCTGGGCCGAAGCCTTCTGTCGCCACGCAATAATGCAGCTTGATTCCGCGGCCCGGGCAGCCATTCGCATTGCCGCCACCACGGAGCTGCGCGGTGGTTCGTAGTCAGCGACACGCTGGGTCACCAAGCCCAAGGCTAGCAGTGCTGCGACGCAGGACGGGGTGGCGTCCTCCTTCACCCAAGCATCTTCCAGCAGGATCACCGCGAGGCGTTTGAAGGCGGCTGTAGCACCGCGAGTGAAGAGCTGCAGCTCTGGGGAGAAGCCGCCGCGATTTGCGAAGAGCAGTCCGGTCGCCGTGGCAGCTACCAGCGGCGATGGAATGCGCTCACCGTAGTCCACAGCCACAGCATGGAAGCGGATCACTTTCTGAAGGCTGCTCTTCAGCGCCCCCATGCTGAGCGGCCGGAGCTGAGCAATGCAGTTTCTCACCGAGTCAGCAGAACAGCTCGGAACGAGGCCATCCACGGCTTCTTGCACAGCTTCCACCTGCATCTGGAAGGCTCCCTGGGCCGAGGCAGGGACCCGCACAACATAGCCATCCAACTTGTAGTGGACGTGCTCCGGGCCCTGACAGCCACCTGAGGACCAGCTGACCGCATCAAGCACGTCAGCTTTCTTGACCTGCGGCATCGTGTCAAATTCAACATCGGAGATCGCAGTCTCAGCATGTTTATGCACGCATTCCCACCTCCGGGTGTGTTGCTGGGAGCTGCTCAGGGCCTGCCACGATCTCGAAGAGCCGCGGGCGGAGGATCAATTTCTTTCCCTGCGCATTTTCACTGCTAGTGCTGCTAGGGGCCTTGAAGTCAGGGAGCCCTCCACTACTGTAACAGTGAAGCTTCACTCGTGCTTGTATAGGTCAATGATGAACCATGTCGATGACTCGTGACTCTTGTAGACTGTCACACTTCAAGCTGAACACACCGAACATTTGCTCCAGGATGTGCCATTGTCCTGAACATTTCAGAGCCCATACCAGCACAGTCACAAGCCTCCGGCAGACCTGGCGTGTACATCAACTTGAGGACATCGCGCCAGCAAACAGTCCGCCTTTCTTCCACCATGGCCCTCGGCACCGATTCAATCTGGCTGCGAGGTGGAAACTGCTCGCATGTTTGAAGATCTGCATTGGCTGCTGACAAACACCCGCCCGAGCCATCCCGAGCCAAGTCGCTGAAGCTCCTCACCATTCCCGTGCTGGTCTGCGAAAGTCTGCCACACGCCTTGCGACACGATGACGAAGGTGGCCGCAGGGGGACAGCTGCAGTTCTCCTTTCCAAGCTGTATAAGTGGGCCAGTCAAAGCAACACCTCAAAACCAAGCACATCCATCCAGGGAAGCGCCAGCACATGGAAGGGATCAGACCAGAATCGGGAGCCTATGCGGGGAGATGTCCTGGCCCATAAAGCCTCAGAGGGCTTTCCCACAATGCACACCCGTGGATTTGTGCACTGCATCCCTGATTCCTCGACGCCGTGCGAACAGCCGGAACCCAACGGCTGGTGATTCGGAACCTTCGGCGAGGCGGCTTTATTCGGAGATGAATTCCGGGTGTCAAGGGGGGGTCCTGGACTTCTGGCTGAACGTGGATAAACGCTTCCCGCCTAAATCTCTAAACCCTCAAAACCAAAGGCCTCTACACCCTGAAAGCATAAACACTTAAACCCGATCTGTGATTCCCCAGCACCTCGGTTTGAGGGAAGTCGTTGTATCGCAGAGTTGCCGCAGCGCGGGACTCGCCGAAATGCTTTGCCACCGCCGCAATGAGAGCCTGTAGAGAGGTGTTTACGGTTGAGGATGTGCTGAGCAAAATCTCCTGAACTGATGAAAACCGAGACCCTGCATCCTGTGCAAAAAATTCCTGCAGAAGGGACGCCAAGGAACCTTACTATAGCTGCCACTGTTTAAACTAGATCGCCTCTCCGGCGGACCGTGCCCAATTTCCATCAAGCGCGTCAAAAAACCAATCAATCTCACGATTAGCCATCGGCCTCTTGACCGACTTCTGCCTCCACACTCCTGTCCGGGAGCAGTACATCCCTCGCTTAGCAAGCCTTTGCGGGATTGATTCTCGTTGCGCTTGCTGTTGCTGCTGCAGCTTCGGTTGTGATTGTTGTTGCGGCAGAATGCATGCAAGGGCTTCAGGGGTGGATTCTTGATTCGATTTTGCAGGTTTGCAGGCAATTGGAGAGTTTTGAATTCGTCTCGTGCTCTTCCAAACTCCGTGGCAGCTTCGCTGCATTGCTGCAAGGACTCTACTACTTCTATGAGGCACGCGGAACCGCAACCGAAGTTCACTGTTCGGGCCCCTGCCTGCGAATAATACTCGGTGCTGAGACCGTGCCGGAGACGAGACGTAAGACTACATTGGCCACGTCCCCGCTGCTGGCATCTTCCACGCCACGCCTTTGGGACGTGCTGTTTCAAGTAGATGTTTTTGGAAGTCTCAAATTTCAAGTGCTTCGGCTTCGGGTGGGGAGTTGTCACGATTAACCAGCAACACAACCCAGTGATCCGGGAGACAAGCCTCGTGTATGCTGTCAAAGACTGAGGCCGAATCTGTCTCAGCTTAGTCTTGACATGCTTATAACTTATAACTTTATAACCATGCTCCGGAACCGAACCACAGAGGCAAAGACCAAGGAGTGCTTTCATGCGGCCCCGGCACAGCACGTCTCCAGCCCTGGCTCCAGTGATGCCGACGGTCAAAGGTAACCTCACAGTGAAGCAAACTGTACACTGCAATGAGCAAACTCAACGGTCTTTTTCTGCTTCTTGTTGCTGGTAAGGTCTATGACGACAAGAACAATGCAACAAAATCATATTCGTCGTCCGTCGCTGGTCGTCGTCGGCTCAGTCGCAGGCATCACAGCGGTTGGCTGTTTCGCCTGCCTCAAGCCTTGAGCCTGATAAGCCCTACGCCCCACACAGTTGGAACCCTGACGGCCCCACAACTTGCCCAATAGCGAGCAAAGAACTTGCCAGGCTTTGAGCTCACCGAGTACTGCTTCAGCCGCCGCTCGGAAAGCCCCTCTTTCTTGGGCTTCTTGGTCGGGCTTTCCGAAGGCTCCTTCTCAGGGCATCGCGGAGCTGGCGGCAAGCCCTGGAACGAGCTATGACGGCACAAGCCCGCGACCCTGGTGAGACGCATGAGCACGCCCGAATGCTTCCTTAGCATCGTCGCCAACAGCTCGCTTCCTCTTGGCCGGCATTGGGTCCCGCTCCCTTGAGCCGAAGAAGTCGAGGCAGTCACTGCGAACGCAAGAAGTGCTAGCGACGGCCACTGCAAGGCAAAGAGAGACACCGAGAGAAACGCAACAAGAAACGGCACAGGGAGACAGGGACACGTGAAGGACAGCCACTATCAACCACCGAATTTGCATCTCAAAGCTCTTAGGATCCTCTAGGCCAATCGACTTTGAGCATCATCTGTGTTGCAGCTACAGGCGTAGTTCTGCTGCACAATGCCCTCAGTAGCGAACTTGGGCAGCAATCCCTGGACTGAGCCCGGGCAGGTATCCTTACCTTACGCATTTTATTACATGGCCGATGCGGCACAAGTCAGACCTCAAATCTACAAGCTCCCAACATTGCTGCCATGCCAAAGGTTGAATCAAGACATGCGCAAGACTGATGCGCCTCCAAAGAAGCGTCGGCGGCAGCGTTTGATTCACCCGCATTCGCTAGCCTTAGTTTCGCAACTGCATCTGGGAATATGGAACACATGGTTCAAAGTAGTCCACTTGACAAGCTAAGCACAATCGAGCTCAATTCCTGGGGTCGGTGCGCAGCTTTGCAGGCTTTCAGGAATTCTCCGGCACTCGGCTTCGGGTCTTCAACCTCGGCCCGTTTCTCACGTGAGCAAAGGCCTCTGCTTTGACAATGCAAGTCATGCAAACATGTCCTGGTAGTTGCACCTGTTACGCAAGAAGGCTTGGTGCAATGATCACGTGAGTTTGCATGGGACTCCGGGACTCAGAGCCTTCCACTCTAAGATCTGGCTGCGTCATGCTCAGAGCGCAACCCTCGGCCGATCGGCCGTCACCACTGACCTCAGCTGCTTCAACACGGGTGTCAGCGACTCCCCGTACAAACGCGGCTTCGTGAGCCGTTTAAGCAGGACCAAGCCAGAAATGTCGGGAGCGCAGTCGAATTCAGGACGGTTTAGTTCACTGGCCTTTATTATCCTTAGGCACGACAAATGCACCCGGGGCCCCAGGGCCCCAGGGCCCCTCTTAGCCATAAGCAGATTCACATCCACAAAAACGAAGGACACGAGACCGGCTCGGCACGGCTTCAGAAAGGTGGCGATTGCGATTCTTCGATACCCCTCTCGGCCTTTCGATGCCTTGCTGAAAGATTCGGTGCCTTCCCAAGATCCAGCAGGACGTTAGAAGCGCTACGAGCTTTTCCTTCGAGGCCCTGGCTGTGGCTTGGCACTGCAGGCCATGCGCGCCTTAGCAAAGCAAGTGTAGGATTACGAAACCCGCGCTCTCGCCTGGAGACAGTTCTTGAGTTCCAAAGCTGCTAGGTGCTGTCACCACGCACGTGTTGCTGCGCTAGCATGATATTCTGATTCTACAGAGCCCTGGTGCCACGGCACAAGCTCGGGACAGAAGCACTGCGCAAACCCACAGCACGCTCCGTCATGCTATGCCCAGCACACAATCTCTCAACCCCATCTATGGATCCCCGCGGTCGAACACTCACAAATATGTAAACCAACCCGAGCCAACGCCAATCCCCGAAGCTCCAACCTTTCAACCGCCCCAAAACCCTGCAATGAAGCAGTCAAATCCAAACTCGGCAGGACTGAGAAGTTGACTCGCAGCTCGGCAACGGCTTCGCCGTGCCTGATGGCCTGAACGTTTATTGCAGCAAGAGTTTCAAGAGCCCAAAGTGCAGGGTGTGAGAGCACCTCTGAAGGTCTACAAGCCTGAGCGTCCGGATCTTGTCAAACATTAGCCCTAAACCCTCAACCCATGAGGGCATAGCTGCCGAAAACTCCGAAGGCACTGAGCTGCGGGCACGCAGGTGGTGCCATAAAGATGAGGCATTAACAT